GAATATGGGCGCTGAATAATTTTCCAAAGATAAGATCTAGTGCGTCTCCGCTTGCGTCACAAGATGTACAACAATTCCTTTATGCGCTGTCTTAACACCATTTCGCGACGCGCGGGATGCGAGCGACAAGTACCAGTGAGAGTCAGTGGAGAATTTGGTTGTTTCGATAAAACTTGGGAGAGAAGCCCGTCACATATTGCGTGAACGTCGGACGAATCGTTTTCTGAACAGGACTTGGCCCGATAGGCGTGAATCGCACGCGTATAAAGTTCTTTTCAGAAGAAATGTGGCCAAAAATCCAGTGGTTGAAACAGCCCGGTCGCTGAATCGGTGGGATGCCATGATGCCTTATTCCGAGTAAGATCTTTGCAGCGCCACCGCCGGTGGCTGCCAGAATCATGACTCGACGAATTGGAGTTAAAAGTAAACGCGGAAGGCGCTTAACTCAGAAGTGTGGAAGAAGGAAGCTCGTTGGGCAAATCAAGGTGGGTGCAGTTGCGCAGGCTGCGAATGGACAGTGTAGAAATCGACTGGTGACTGAGCTCCTCGGAAGTAGTGATTTCTTCCCATTCCTTTCTGCCGCTGACTTTTGGGCATTTCATGCCGAACACATCCCGGCTAGTTGGTCGTCCGTGCCGGGCGACGGACAAATTTGTTTCATTTTGATTGTGAGCCCTCTCAACGCTAAACGCTATCTCTCCCTGCTATCTAAATCACGATCGCCACTGCCAATTAATAGCACCTGGTCACCGGCGGTCAGCGGTGCTTAGATGGTCGGTGGGCGTACCGCGCCAACTGCGCCTAGATTTAGCAATGCTGTATCGCCGAGGAGGTCAAATCTTTCGCTGCCGATTGCGTGTCAGCCCGCAGGAGGTCCGCCTTTCTCTCCACTTGGCAATTGACCCTTTTCTCGACCTTCGTTCTTATCGTGAAGCCTCCTTTAATTGGTTTTGCGTCAAGTTGAATAGAATTGACCAAGTACGTCCCATATCACATCGCAATGTCACTCGTCCGCTGACCCTCTGCTTTCCACCCTCTCGTGGCGCGACAAGCCTTCTGTCGAGTAGTCCACACTTTGAGGTCCCGACAGAACCACCATCCTTGGGTTTCCTGCTACCTCGCTGCTAGGGAAGAATTTTGTGACGATCTGATCGCGACCCGTGTCTTTAATGCCCTATCCTACAAGAAATCATTTGCGCCGATAATTTGGTGTCAGGAAAGCTTGATGGATCAATTGATTTTATGATTATCCAGGACGGATGATTCAGGAAGATTTGGATCTATGAATGCACCCTAATGTGCTCTCACTCGAGTTTTCGAAGGGAACTAAGAGAACTATTGTTTGAGCTTCAACCCGAGTGTGAAATTGTAGTAATTTTCTTCAACATTTAAAGCACCGTACCAGTTTGACCATATTAGCCGCTGTTGGAAGTGGTCTACCATTCTTATTTTTAACAAGTCCACGCGCAAGTCTCGACCTGAAATGTACCAATTTACTCCAAGATCAGCTAATTCACCATAAAACTTCAAACCACTTTGACTTGAACAAACCTCCTGTAATTGTGTCCCGATATTGCCTGGAGTCTTATCCTGTCGTTCATACCAGGATTGACCGGACAGATCTGGTTGATGCCTAGATGAGTACCTTGCATAAATTACTGCAAACTGTTGGCTCTAAAGGTTCATGAACATTTTGAGTGTTCGTCCATAGTTTATTTCGCACCTCATAGATAGAAAAAAACAAATAAAATGCCCAGGTGGGCCGCAGATGGGTCAAAAAATAATTTCCGCTGAACTTCTGCTATGCGGGTAATCGAGGGTTCTGGTCACGAACATGATATTCGTTTTTGGCGCTGGTGCCAATTTATCGCCATTTGGCGCCAGGTGGCGCCGCGACTGATTCCCACGTACGTCGCCTTGTAAGCCTCTGGTAGGTTGTGTTTGGGTCCTGATTACGAAACTTAGACATTCGTTTTTGTTGTTGGCGCTATTCGGCGCCTATTTCCTGCTCGTCTGCGCCTCGCACTAATTAGATCGCAATCAGGACTAAGCCTTTGAATAGTGGAGGGCTCCAAAGTGAGTAGGCCACTTCCCCTGTGGTCTGACACACTCCAACTTTTGCCACACGGTGCGTGGTTTACCCACTCCGGAGTTTCACTCCCCTCCCCTATGCTTAGTCGTAGGCGCTGTAGGTGAGAAAGCTTAGTAAAGCAGAAAGTATGCGTTAAACAGCACGAATGTGAAAAATGAGTGTCATATTCATGATTCGGTGTGACTCGCCGAAATATCCTATAAAAGTGTTACATCAGATTCAGATTTGTTGACAATCAGCTTGGTGCAAGCTGAGCTCAGAATGGGCCATTGGGTGTCATATTCGTGATCACGGACCTCAATAAGCAAAGCCGTAAATTTCAGCGGAAAATTATTTTTGAACCATTCTAGTTCACTCTGGGTTGTAATATGGTCAATAGCACATATTTACCTAATGAACAGTTTGGAATAAGTCTATCGAAGGGAAGGAAATCCTTTCCTCGAGAATGCGAAGATTGCTCTCGAATACGGGGTTTTCCCTCCTTTCTGAGGCTTAGTCCACCTTTGTGCTAAGGGAATATGCTATGTGTTTCACCAATTGTTGACGTCGCTCTGGTTCGCATGCTTCCCGCAGCACCTTCTTCTAACTGGGATATAACCGACAATATTACTACAGTTCTAAAATCCCTAGATGAAGGATCGTTCATGGTTTATTGAGTCCTTGATATTTTTTAGAAATAAAAATAAAAATATTTTTTCAAAATCATTTTTTACCGGTAAATTAAACCGCTCTTATCTATGGAATTTTACTGATCGAATGGGCTCTTCAAGTTCTATCCAGAGATCAAATTCCGGCATTTCTAGAGAGATTCCGGCAGAAATTCCGTTAAAATCGCTATTTTTCTATATGAATTGTTTATTAAGTGGGCGGGGTTTAGAGTTGAGGGGCGGAGCTTCTTCTAAACTTCTTCTCCGATTTTTATTTATCCATCCATCAAGTTAGAGGGGTGACTGCATTCAATTTCAATTTCATTCCAATTCATTTTTCACCGGTAAATTAAACCGCTCTTATCTATGGGATTTTAGGGTACGGTTTAATTCTGAATGAAAACGGGAAATGATAGAGATATTTGTCTGATTCGATGAGCACAGCAGCTGTTGTTTGGGGAGATCCGCTGATTTTCTTCGTACGGCAGCGAATAAAAGACTCAGCACGTCGTGAAGCCCAGACTGATGGGTGAATTGAGTTGATGGAACGTACATAACTGCCACTCCGAACTGATCGAATCTCACTCGTCTCCACCATCTTTTAATAGCCTTAACGAATAGTACTCTTCAACAGCATGGTATGTTTACGTTACTGGACGAACCTCAGTAATAGCATGAACGCGATATCGAGCCTCGCCTTTCGGAATACAAATGATATTCTGTTGTACTCCGGATGGAACGCGTGACCAAGAAGTAGAGCAACTGTCAGCTGCAGCTTTCGCGGTAGTTTCAAGCAGACATCTGTATCTCTTAAAAATGTCACGTGATTCATTCCTCATAACACATTGATTCTTTTTGTCTAGACACATATTTTCTTCCTAAACCAGACCTAAAACCGGTGGATTTCGCTCACTGTTGCACAGGTTGAGGCTTCGGTGTGGCGCGTACTAAGAGTAGATATTTTCATGGTGGCGGAGTTCCAAGTGCTCTCGCTAACAGATGGTCCAACGAAATTGTTCATGATTGATCAAGCGTCCACATTCGCTGTACGCGTCGACGATTGGCGCAGTAAATCAGTAAATGTCGAGGAATTTATTGTTTCGATAAATATTTTGAATGGACCGAATTTCCTTTGAACACTGGCGTAGTGTGATGAGGGGTATAGAGATTCTTTTCAGTGGAAGAAAATGTTACCAAGAATCCGCTGAACCCGTGAAGGTGATTGCTGATGCCCTGCCGAGGCAGATCTTTGGCGAAAGCGTCACTGGTGGCTTGCCGATTGAAATGTTTAAACGCTAAATCGGCGGAGTAAACGATGCACAGAGCTCGTTCGAAATAAAGGGTGTGTGTCAGGGAATGCAAAGAGAAATACGCTGGAGCCTCGGATAGTATCCCTTCCTTGCCTGACCTTGCGCATTCATGGCCAGCCCCAGCTTGGTCCCTCTTCAACCGCGTCTACGCTGGCTCTCGCTATCTAATCACTGGCCGCATATGGACCTGCGACGGGTGCTTAGATAGTCGGTGGGCGTACCGCGCCAACTGCGCCTAGATTCAGCAATGCTGTATCGCCGAGGTCAAATCTTCCGCTGCCGATTGCGTGTCAGCCCGCAGGAGGTCTGCCGTTTTATTACTGGTGTAAATACGCAATACTTAGATGCGATGAAATGTTTTCAATGATGTTCGATCTGTCTAGCTTATCAGGAGTTACAGTAATGGAAGTTTGACCGAAATGACGTGTTAAGGCCATGAAAAGGGAAATTTTACTTAATTTCCCTTTAGTGGTTCCAAAATTAATTTGGACGTGGTTGTTTCAGTAAAAACACCCTACGAATAGGTTTGTATTCACTTCTGTTATTCCTTTTTATCAACATGTCTACGTTATTGAAAAGAAAACGAGGAATGAATTGAACAGACATATCCGTAAGGTCTGGAAAACGTCTGCCAAACTAAAGAATATTTGGCCTTTCTGTGAGCCATGTGGTTTTTAAGTATGCTAATGTATGACCTATAGAATGAGTACAAAGACCTTAGGAATAAGTCGCACAAGCGCAAGAAAAAGGGATGACTTGGGTGGGACGCGTTACCGCGTCACAATGTCCCACGAGGTGCGCAAAGTGGGACGCGTTACCGCGTCACGCTGTCGTCAACGTGTTAGTTGGTGAAAGGAAGAATGGACACCTCTTCGAAGTTGAAATCGAGCACAAAGATATTCATTGCGAACATTTATTTGTTCATACTACATACTACTACGTTTCTGTTTTTCAGCGAGTGATAGCCGCACAGAGCATGGATGAGTCGCAGAAGAACCCAATAGGGCAACGAGAGCATGGATTACCTCTTTCGTAAAGGTATTGCCCAACAATATTTCCGCTGAAACATACACTCTCGAGTAGATGTCTCATGGATGACTTTAAGAAAATAAAGTGCAATAATTATTTTACCCAGGACGGTAGTGGCACACAACACACCACTGGTGTCCGCAGTCTGAGACAGCACATCCAAGATATCTCGTGGTCGCCCATGCCATCTGAAGTTTCTGTGTTCACGAAATGCGTCCGGGCAGCGCATAAAACCGATTCGTGGAGGTGAAAACCAGTTTTCCTGTCGATTCCATTGGGCACCTTGTGTGCAAGTCTGCTCCAAGGCCGTTGGCTACAATTACTTATCTGGTTTTGTGGAATGTAAATAATGATGTGTTCTGCGCTTTGTACGTAAACGTCAATGAAGTAGGGCACTATTGCACTATTACAACCTTAATAGGGGTGAGATGGGTCAAAAAATCATCTTCGTGAACTTCGGCTATTGGGGTTATCGAGGGTACTCATCACGAATATGATATTCGCATTTGACGCTGGCGTCAATTTGGCGCCATTTGGCGCCAGGTAGCGCCACAACTGATTCCCGCCAAATTCGCAGTAAACTTCTGTGGGTTGTTGTTTAAGGTCCTGATTACGAATATGATTATTCGAAATGACGCTGGCGTCCAATTTGGCGCCATCTGGCGCCAGGTGACGCGCACGACTGATTCCCACTAAATTCGCTGTAAACTTCTGTATAGGGGTTATTTGGGGTCCTGATTACGAATATGACATTCGTTTTTGTTGTTAGCGCTATTCGGCGCCTATTTCCTGCTCGTCTGCGCCCTCGCACTAATTAGATCGCAATCAGGACTAAGCCTTTGAATAGTGGAGGGCTCCAAAGTGAGTAGGCCACTCCCCTGTGGTCTGACACATTCCAACTTTCTACCACGCGGTGCGTGGTTTACCCACTCCAGGGTTTCACTCCCTCCCTAAGCTTAGTCTTAGGAGCTGTAGGTGGAAAAGCTCAGAAGAGCAGAAAGCATGCAATAACAGCCACGAGTACGTCAGAATGTACGTTGTCATATTTCGTGTCAGAGACCCAAATATCCTATACAGAAGTTACAGAGATTTCGTGACAATCATTATGCGCCAGCTGGAGCAAATGTCGCAATTGGGTGTATATTGTGACAGACTTCGATAAGCCTCCATAGCTGAAATAGACGAAAATTAGTTTTTTGAACCAATCTCTATTCCATCTGGGGTTGTTAATAGGCAATATAGCACCATAAGTTTTATATTTACCCAATGACATTTGGAATAGCTTATCGAAGGGAGATAATCCTTTCTGAGATCGAAGATTGCCTTCTCGATACGGAGGTTCTCCTTCTGAGCTTAGTCACTTTTGTGCTAGGATATACTATCGTTGCTAAACTTGGTGACGCTCGACGCATAGCTCTCCCCCCTCCTAACTGGGATAACCAATTTTGAGCACTATGAGCCTATTACAAATCAAAAAAATTTTTCGCTGAAACTTGCGCTAGGGGGGTTATCGAGGCTCCTGATCACGAATATGACCTTAGTTTTTGGCGCTGGCGCCAAATTGGCGCCATTGGCGCCAAGGGTGTTCTCACCAAATTCGCTGTAAACTTGTGGATAGGGGTTATCGAGGCTCCTGATCACGATGACATGTTGGCCGAATTTTAGGGAGCTTGAAATGATGTCATTAGAGCTTCATCCGTAGGGGCATCAATGCTGCCCCCCCCACCCGTATCTGCATCACCCCCTGGCACACAGGTTTCTCGAAGTACGGGACCCCGTGAGCGGTGAGTGAAGCCAGTTCAGGCGGTGGGGGGTGAGGGTAGCCACATGATGCCCCCCTTACTGGATGAGCGCCTAGATGACATCTATTTCGAGCGTCACCTAGAGAATTTAGGACAAACTAAGTTCATTTCGTGATCAGGAGCCTTTACCTATCCAAAGTTTACAGCGAATTTGGTGAAAACACCCCTTGGCGCCAATTGGCGCCAAATGGCGCCAATTTGGCGCCAGCGCCAAAAACTAAGGTCATATTCGTGATCAGGAGCCTCGATAACCCCCCTAGCGCAAGTTTCAGCGAAAAAATTTTTTGATCCATCTCACCCCTCTGGGGTTGTAATAGCTCATATAGTGCCAATTTTTACTACTCGTTTTAATATTGATGTGAAAACGGAATGGTTAGAATATTTTTCTGATTGGATGAGCACAGCCAGACGGTTAGACTGGTTCTCTGATCTTTACTCGTACGTAGGCGAATAATAAGACTCACCCTAGTGAACCAACTGATGCTGGTGAATTGATGTTGATAACGGTACATAACTGCCACTCCGAACTGATCGAATCTCACTCGTCTCCACCACCTTTTAATAGCCTTAACGAATAGTACACTTCAACAGCATGGTATGTTTACGTTACTGGGCGAACCTCAGTAATAGCATGAACGCGATATCGAGCCTCGCCTTTCGGAATACAAATGATATTCTGTTGTACTCCGTATGGAACGCGTGACCAAGAAGTAGAGCAACTGTCAGCTGCAGCTTTCGCGGTAGTTTCAAGCAGACATCTGTATCTCTTAAAAATGTCACGTGATTCATTCCTTATAACACACTAATTCTTTTTGTCTAGACATATATTTTCTTCCTAAACCAGACCTAAAACCATTTTCGCCCCAACTGTGACACAGTGAGCTTCTGGTGTGCAGACAAGCGTAGAATAATTTTCAAGATTCTAGTGCTCTCCTACAAGATGTCCAACAATTGTTCTCATGGCTGTTTAAGCGACCGCGCGGGATTGCGCAGTAACAATAGAGTCAGGAGATTTTTGTTCGATAAAATTTGAGTGGACGGAGATTTCCTCTGCCCAGGGCTGGCGTAGATGAATGAGGGTATGAAGATTCTTTTCATGGAAGAAAATGTTCCAAATTCCATTTGAAACCCGGTAGTGAACGGTGGATGCCATTGCCCGAGTGAGATCTTTGGCAGCCACCGGTGGCTGCCATTGTCACGAATGGGTTAAACGCTAAACGCGGAGTTAACGATGGAAAGGAAGCTCGTTCGAAATCAAGGTGGTGCAGGGAAATGCAAGAGAAATGACCTAGGAGCCCGAGAAATGAACCCCCTTCCTTGCTGACTTGCGCATTCATGCCACTCAGTTGTGCCCTCTTCAACGCTAACGCTCTCTGCTATCTAATCACTCGCCGCGTATAGACCTGCGGCGAGTGATTAGATAGTCGGTGGGCGTACCGCGCCAACTGCGCCAAGATTGAGCCATGCTGTATCGCCGAGGTCAAATCTTTCGCTGCCGATTGCGTGTCAGCCCGCAGGAGGTCTGCCTTTCTCTCCACTTGGCAGCTGACTTTTTCCACCTTCGTTCTTATCGTGAAGCCTCCTTTAATTGGTTTTGCGTCAAGTTGAATAGAATTGACCAAGTACGTCCCATATCACATCGCAATGTCACTCGTCCGCTGACCCTCTGCTTTCCACCCTCTCGTGGCGCGACAAGCCTTCTGTCGAGTAGTTCACACTTTGAGGTCCCGACAGAACCACCATCCTTGGGTTTCCTGCTACCTCGCTGCTAGGGAAGAATTTTTTGTGACGATCTGATCGCGACCCGTGTCTTTAATGCGCTATCCTACAGGAAGTCATTTGCGCCGATAATTTGGTGTCGGGAAAGCTTGATGGATTAATTGTTCTCATGATTATCTAAGACGAATGATTCAGGAAGATTTGGATCTATGAATGCACCCTAATGTGCTCTCACTCGAGTTTTCGAAGGGAACTAAGAGAACTATTGTTTGAGCTTCAACCCGAGTGTGAAATTGTAGTAATTTTCTTCAACATTTAAAGCACCGTACCAGTTTGACCATATTAGCCGCTGTTGGAAGTGGTCTACCATTCTTATTTTTAACAAGTCCACGCGCAAGTCTCGACCTGAAATGTACCAATTTACTCCAAGATCAGCTAATTCACCAAAAAACTTCAAACCACTTTGACTTGAACAAACCTCCTGTAATTGTGTCCCGATATTGCCTGGAGTCGTATCCTATCGTTCATACCAGGATTGACCGGACAGATCTGGTTGATGCCTAGATGAGTACCTTGCATAAATTACTGCAAACTGTTCGCTCTAAAGGTTCATGAACATTTTGAGTGTTCGTCCATAGTATATTTCGCACCTCATAGATAAAAAAAACACCTAATAATGAACCGTACGCTATGTACCAGTTTGGAGCGTAGACTGAGTACATACGCTGCACACTAAATGTGCATGAGGGGGGGGGGGGTGATAAGTTGAAGTCGCTGTCTGAGATGTGTACTCCTCGAACGCGGATTTCAAAGCGACATCCTCAGCAGAAATCGTGTCGGTCGAAGAAGTGTGCGAGATAGAGTAGCCCACAAATAGCGCAAATATGCCGTTGAGGCGGCTCGAAAGTTTGCAACAATGGCGCTAGGGTCTTACAAAGTCAGCATTTGGCGACTAATCTTAGCATTTGGACGAGTTACGTAGCGCACACCCCATGACACACAATGTGGATTACGGCGTAGCGGCTAATTCAAAGGCGCGGCTAGTGGAGTCATGGAGCAGGCATGTTCGTACAACTCGTCTGATTCCGCCCCTTCCTTTTTCTACTCAATCTTTTGAGCTTAATCGACGGTTTCCTTTGCTTCTTTTTTCATTCCTAGTCAATTCGACGTCCACAGTTTCGTTATCAACCGCTGAGAGAGTAGAAGAGCACATTCTAGTCTATCAAAAACCGCACAACATAGAGGGAATAGAGGGACCATAGACAATTACGAATTCATCTGAAAAACTGGTCAAAAGCGGTCTTGCGTAGTCACAGCTAGTGTCTCTGGGAAGCTATTCAACAGTTAATCGATTGAAGAAATTATGTAGCAGCTTCAGGCCGGAGCGATTACGGTAAGCCTCCTTGAGCTCGACGGTGATGACAGATGACGTCATATTCTGAAGACGGTGAGGGCAGTGAAGAGGGCCTGCTTCTGCTTATGTATGGGGAGGGGAACATATAAAGGAATATTTTACCATAAAATTTCATCGAAAACGGCACCTTGGGACGAAAAATTTGATGATGTGGTTATGGCCAAAGTGAATCCTTTTTTGGTCCCTCTCTCCCATAGACAGATCTATTGATAGAATAGGATGAGAAGTTCGGAGTTTCTAGCCATCGCAAGAATGCCGAGTTGTGGGCAAAACTTTCGCACACTGCAGATGCTGGGACGGTACCCGATCTCTTGCTTTCTTGGCAATGTGCTACCAGTTACACCACCGGGCACCATTTCACCCCAGCTCACGGTCAGCTTCGATGGTTAAGCAACCACAGCCTTATCAGCATTCACACGTTTAACGTGACGAGCCAGAATTAGGCGGCCAGCAGAAGTTCTTCCCACCAAGCCTATTCACGCCAGGGTGCGATGGTGAGCACCCAAGCACTGAGGGCCGCTTCGCTCTCGTACGACGTACTATCTCGCGTTCTCCCTCTCCTCGCAGCGCTGTGTCTCTCCGTCGTACTACGGCCGGCCTCCTAAGGGAAATTTAGTGTTTTCTATGGTGCTTTTTGCTTTTTCTCCTCACTAATGTTCCTCATTGCACCCCTTGCCTAATGTTTGAACAAAATAACGCATCAATTCAATCCCGACTCGTGCCTTTTTCCGGAGGGGGGTCCTTTGAAACCATCTGCTTGCACGCCACTATGGATTACTCTTTTAAGCGACCATGGGTCCTGCGCCATAACGCTGGAGGTAGATAAAATAGAACTGCTGATTACCGCTCTCTAATGAATAACGAAATAATGGCTCCAATAAGGATTCAAACTGGTGTCAGATTTGGGCTTTTTTCACACGGCTCTGCCGTTATTTGATTGCAAGACGTATTCCCAGTAATTGGCTAACGTCGAACAGTTTTTTTGGGACCTCATAAGCGCTTCGAGTTTATTTAAAAAACCCCTTATGTGCTAAGCAAGCCATCTGGAGAAAACTTAGGATACCAAGGTCAGTCGATGTGACCAACGACTCGGCAAGCACCAACGGTAGAATATGCTCCAATATTGGACCACATCAAGCTGTGCATTTACGGGAGAACGCTTGTGCCTGCAGCGCTGTCTGGAAGCCGAACATACGATTGCGGCTGCCGAAGACTATACCCATCAGCTAGGGAATAATGAAGATCAATCTTGAGAATAACAGTGGGCAGGAAACTCAGGTGTAGATCACCACTGCAACCACAGAATTTGATGGTTGCGAGGCACAGCAAAGTTGCAGAGGAGAACAGGCTTTCAGATGCCACCGCGACGAGTACATGACGCATCTCAGAGCAGGAGCTGTTACTAATACGTTCATACCTCAGGGGCAACGTGTGAACGGACTCTTTTCAAGGAAACCCCATTTCAAATTAAAGTGTATGAAAAAACAGCTTTGTAATTCGAAGGACTGACTGCTCCATCGAAAGTTGGCAAAAGAGAGTTTTTTCACATACTATCGGAAAAAGTTGATACGCTTTTGAAGTACTGTCCGTGAAGCTCCTAATGATTTTTCCTCTTCTGATTAAGAGCTTTTCTGAGGAAACGAATGAAGGATTAAGTTGGAAAGCTCACGCTTCACGAGAATAATCCAAAAAATCCATTAAAAAACAAGTTAGGTTATCTTTTGACAAAAGCACGAGATTAGTGCTTTCAAAAAACTGCTGTGACCTTCTGAAAAATTGCTCTCTGAAAGACAACCCGTTCAAAAATAGTCCCATTGGTTTTCTCCTTATAATTTCCCAGGATCATTTTTCTGAACTCGTGTTTGAAACACTTATGTGCTCATGAGTATTCGCGATTGTTTTTATCAGTAGAGCGAAAAACTACTAGTGTATAAGGAGCTGCAGCTATTTCTACCAAAAGTATCTCCATTATGAAGACTCAAAAATCAGTCTAAGGAGCTAGTTGCGTTATCCTCCACTGCCATGCACAACATCGATTAAGGTACAGAGAAAAGTTAACCCCATCCCCAAAAAAGTCACTTCCCATCCTCGAATGATGGAACGTGTTTATAAAAAAGCTGCCTTTCATACCCCAGCACACTGTATGTATTAGGTTCGCCCATATGTAGTGTCGGTTTTTTTTTCAAGCAGAAATTTTTCCTATAAATCCCCAAATTTTTGCACCAATTCATACACCATTCGAAAGAGAATTGTCTGCTCTACAAAAAACCATGTTCTCTTCCACAGTTATTGTAGT